TTTTTGTTTATTTCCCGGTCCTCAGCTGTGTTCTTCTTGCTCAGAGACACTGAGCTCGCCTCCTTCCCCATCCTTCTCTAAGTTCCTGAAGATTAAAAGAATGCCTGGGCTGAGAGAGAAAACAGAAAGCGGAAAAGAGGAAGGAAGTTGCCCTGAGGCAGAGGAGGTAGTTTGGCAGAAAGGAGGCACCTCTATTCCCCCAAACTCGTTCTGAGTTTCCCCTGACTCCTCTCAGGGCACTATGAAGAGTGCCATCAGTCTGCTCTGAGCTGTGGACAGAATGGCAATTTCTATGATACTGTTTCCCTGACTTGCGACCGAAGTGAGGAAACCGCTTGGATATTGTGATGCGGTAATCAGATAATTTGGTCAAACCCAGATTTGTGTCTGCATTATCAGAATCAATGCCTCAAGTCTTTACTGGATTCTCCAAACGCAGTAACTTCTGCTTGCCTTTCTCTGTCTCTCCTTTTCTCTTACATCACACACAGTCTCTTGTTTTCTGGTTAGAAGAGAACAAGAGAACCGGGATGAGGCCTTCAGAGATGATTTCAGAGAGGAAGGGAGAGAGAGAAACATCAATGGTGAGAGAGGATCATTGATTGGCTGCCTCCTGTACGCCCCTCACAGGGAATTGAGCCGGCAACCCAGGCATGTGCCCTGACCAGGAATCACAGGTTGATGTTCAACCACTGGCCAGGCTGGTATCTTTTTTAAAAAAAAATATATAGCAACTTAGCTGCTGTTACTAATATGAGCTTGGAGTCAGAGTGTGATGACTTTGTCAGCAAATTGCAGAAAAAGTCAGAACATCTTTTATCTGTGAAAACCAGAGATTAAATTGGGAGCCAAACATAGAAGTCAAACCATTTGATTTCTAGGTGCATTCAGTCCACGAATAGAAATAGGTTAACACAGCTGGTTGTTATTGTTAGGAACATAAGTTTTAAAATGATCGTTGGTGAGGTTCTGGCAGGTCTAAGCCAAATCATATGTGTTTCCTTTTAAAGGTTCTGGGTTGCAGAGATTTTGTCACCCTGCCATGTGGGCCCTCCCCTCCATGTCAGTGTTACTCTTGCCTTGGGCACATGCTTATTATGCTTAGGAGTTGTCATGAGATGATCAGCCCACTCCCTACTACAGTCTCTTTCGGATCCACAGTACTTAAGCTAATGGGATGAGCCAAAGTAAAGACAGTGCAAAGGCAAGAAGTACTATCTATAATAATAAAAGTGTAATATGCTAATTAGACCGGATGTCCAAAGCCAGAGCTGTGAGGGAAGCCGGGTCCCAGGTGCCAGAGGGAAGCCGGTGCCAGCAGCCGGGAGAAGGAAGGCCTACTCTTGCACAAATTTTGTGCATCGTGCCTCTAGTTAATGAAATAACTTAAAAGAGGAAAACAGAATAAAGCAGGAAACTTCCCACTAAAAGGGTTCAAATAGCTTTCCTTTGAGGAGAGTATACAAACTTAAGAGGACTTTGAGATGTTATTTTGGACCATTTCAAGACATTTTTTTTTAAGACATTCTTTTTGCTTATTTCTCAGTCCTCAGCTGTGTTCTTCTTGCCCATGTTATTACAAAGCTAAGTTGTAGATTGATATTATTGGTTCCATTTGAACTGACAACCCAATGCCGTGACCCAACCACTGAAGGGTCCTGGCTGTGACTGTTGTGTGTGTGCCCATTTTCCCAAAGCCCTTTGGGTTTAATTCACACTCCAGCAGGCAGCACAGCTAATCTGCAGCAGGCGCAAAACATCCCTTTCAAACTTGGGTTCGCCTGCAGGCCCAGGGGTGCCTGCCTCCCCACCACTCCATGACCCTCAAGACTGTTCTGCATCTTCCCAGGGTCAGTCTGGGGATCCCTCCCGCGCACGGGCCCCTGCGGGTCTGCTGGTCTCCAGGAGGAGAAATATCTCCTTCCAGTCCACTTTTGGGGCCAGAGGGGCACGCTAGACTTCAGACTGTCAATGTCCCTTTGCACTTGACCCCTGTGCTCACCACATCCAGTCCTCCCCTCCCCCCCCCCCCCGCCCCCCCCCACACACCTAACCGGGTAGAGGTGGGTGTGGAGCGGCTTCTACAGCGATTCCCCAGCCTGGATCCGCAGTGGCCTTGCTTCTGTGGACCAGACCTGAGTTCCAGTCCTGTCTCTGTCCTTAAAGCAAGTGATTTGGTCTCGCTAAGCCTTGGCTGCCTCAATATGAATAATTTTGTACCCACCACATAGGACCCAGGGCTCAGTGAGATAAGGAAGGCAAAGGGCTTGACAGAACTCCTGGTGCTCAGTAAACTCTCAATAACTAAATGCTACCCATTATTATTCATTTATGGCAATATATCTGCTTTTTCCACTTGACTGTAAGCTACTGGAGGACAGAATTTAGCAGCACCTGGCACAGTGCCTGGCACAGTGGGTGGGAGGGAAGTGGCTGATTGAGACCCTCAAGTTCATGGGGGAGATGATGGAGAGAGAGGTAGAGCAAGGGACCCATAAAGACGGTAAATCTGAGACAGTCTTTGAGCTGAAGGCAAAGGAGACGTGAGGGTGTGGCTGGGCGGTGCCAGGGCAGCAGAGGGCAGAGCCTTGAGGGTCATCCACTCTCTTTACAGCTCATTCCTGCTGTGTCAACATGAGAGCAGGACCGGTGTGGTCCTGGAAAGGTGGAAATGGGAGTCTCCCATACAACACCCCCCCCCCCCCCCCCCACCCCCCCCCCCCCCCCCCACCCCTCCCCCCCCCCCCCCCCCCGCCCTCTCCCAGTGCCTTAGAAGGAATCCACAGAGATTCAGAACATGCAGGTTCCCAGAGCTACTATGTCGAGGCAGGAAAGAATGCCTCTCAGAGCAGGAAGATGACATTTTCTGGATTTCAGCTGGCCTGCACTTTAGGCTGTTAATGGAGATTCACACAGATAATAAAATGCAACAAATTTACATCGCGAAAAAGTCTGGAGGACATGCTTGGGTGAGAACAAAGGAGCACGGAGAAGGCGAGAGGATTGCTAATGGATCTTTTAGATTTCATTTTCTGGTAGTTTCTATATTTGGTCAAAGCAACTTCCACTGTGGGGACGTAAGACTTGGAATTTGGAGCCCAGACTCCAAAAGGCAATCTGACTCAATATCTATTCTAGAGCTTAATTTTGTTTCTGGGGCCCCCAGAGCAGCAGGCTGTGTGCAGCGCTGAGGCAGTGTGGTCCTGTGGTGGTAAGCAAGCCCCACCTCCCAACGCCTTTCTAAGCAGCTCACCCTTCTCCATTAGCCAGAAGGAAGGCTGGGAACGACATCCAGGCAGATTTGAAGGCGGATTACCTTCCTCATTATTCCGCGGAGGCTGAGCTGTGTGGCTGCTGTAGTTTTAATTACACATTTGCTTTTTCTGGGGAAGACGACCAAAGATCATATTTTTCAAAGTATCAACTTGTTTTCCATTAGACAGTTGTTGTAACAAGTTCTTTCAGCTACACGTTATGTCTTTAGGAAGGGGGTGCTTCAGATGGCGCGCACTAGCACAATTTTGTGGCTTTTAATTACTGTTTTGTTCTTTTGTGGGGTTTCAGAGACTGGCGCCTCGGCGCGATTAGACCGTCTCCTGGGCCCGCCGCAACCATGCACAGCCCAGAAGGTGGCGCCACAAGGCAGGTAGTGCCAAAGGAACCGCGGGCTTGGGAGTCCAGTGAAGGCTGGCGTCCCCCAACTTCGGACCACCGTTCCCAGCCACCCGGAAATAGAGAGAGAGAGAGCAAGTCGCCACTTCCGACTTAAAAGAAGAAATTTCAACCATAGGGTGGAACAGTGCAAAACTGTAAAGTAGGGTTACGTGCATGAGATAAAACTTTTCTATTTGTTTCTGTAAGTTTACCAAAACTTGCAGTATGGAGATGACTCTCTCACCTAAGTATCATTCCATTTCCTCTTTAGTAAAAACACAGAATTTAGAGTAAACATTCACTTTGAAGACCATCTGGTCAGTCTAGCTTTCCAACCCAGAGAGGAAATCCCCATGATGGCTTTTCGGGCGTCCAACAACACACTCGCCACGTGTCAGGAAAGTACGAGGGAGAATGATGTCAAATAGCACATCAATAGCAATAACACCTTTGAATTTATATAGCTTTTCTCTCAAGCAACAAGGACTATCGTTTAAATACCATCTAATTAATTGTCCTAATATCCCTGCGGGTTGGTTAGGAAGCAGGTGTTATTATACAGTACGTGGTTTATGGATAATTTAAATCAATTGACTACGTCAAGTGCAGAGTGGCTGACAAGAAAAGGAAGTGCCAGACACTTCGAGGAAAAGCGGTGCTAGAACTGGCCCGGCTCTGGGCACCGTTTTCTTTGGATTAATGTTTGAAAGCTGGCCTCACTGGAATTGGTTGGTACTTGTACACGGAAGGGGAAATGCCAGTCTCCGTCTTCACGCCTTCTGTCCTCCAGCCGCCGGCCACGCTCACGCCCCGCCCCACTCCCAGCCCTCGCCTCGCTGCTCCCATTCAGCAGCCGCCCGTCTGCACCCGCGACCACAGCAGCCGCAGCGCCGGCCCGGTGACACCCGCCCCCGCCCGCCTGGCGATCCTGGGCGCTGGTGGCCCCGCGGGCTGGCGCTTCTGATTGGCTGTTGCTAGGTGACGTTGCCTGGGTTCACGTGACAAGTGTTAAATGCCCACCCTGCAGGAGCCCGCCCCGCAGACAATCGTAAAGCCGCAGCGGGCTGCTCACCTGCTCCCGCCTCCCGGAGCCCCGGCCCAGCCCCGCCACCCCCGACCCCCCTCCACTGCCGGCCCCGCCCGAGCCGACGTCGGGCAAGAAGCCGAACGGGCCGAGAGGCCGAGAGAGGATGAGGCCGACGGCGGCTGTCCCGAGCTGTGCACGGTGATCGCCTCCCCCGGAGGAGGAGTTGCCTAGGCTAGACCATTGCCACATTTCTTGTTTTCCTTCCCACCCACCCACCCCGTTATTACATTGGCTGCCGGAGGGGACCGGGAGAGACGGAGGAGGCGCCTCGCTTCCCCCCTCGCGCCCGCCACCCCTGCTCTTCCCCGTCCCGGGCCAGGATGACTGGAGTCTTTGACAGTTTGGTGGCTGACATGCACTCGACCCAGATCACGGCCTCCAGCACGTTCCACCAGCCCCAGCAGCCCCCGAGCGGAGGCGGCGCGGGCCCCGGCAGCAGCCTCCACAAGCCCCAGGAGTCGCCGACCCTCCCGGTGTCCACGGCTACCGACAGCAGCTACTACACCAACCAGCAGCACCCGGCGGGCGGCGGCGGCGGCGGGGGCTCGCCCTACCCGAACATGGGTTCCTACCAGTACCACGCCAGCGGCCTCAGCAACGTCCCTTATTCCACCAAGAGTGGCTACGACCTGGGATACACCGCCTACACCTCTTACGCGCCCTATGGGACAAGTTCGTCCCCGGCCAACAACGAACCTGGTGAGCATAACGCTGGCGTCAAGGGTGCCAAGTCGGCCTAGCTACTGCCATGGGTGGGATAAAAATATTTGGGGCGGGGATCTCTCCGGAGCCGGGCCTCTCACACTACCTGCTCCCGGCCCGCCCCGCGCCCTCACCATTCTCAACCTCCAATCTGCCGAGGGTCCCTGGGTACGTCCCTCGGTGCTCAGCGGGTCCTACCGGGTGGCCTGGGGGAGGGGGGGGCGTGGTGCATGCCTCCTGGTAACCTCATTTCCTCGCCACCTGCTTCTTTCTCTCCCGTATGCGCTTGTCTTCCCCTTCGCTGGTGGGCCCAGCTCCAGGGTTTGGGGGCGGCAGGGGTCCGCGCATTGTGAAGTTGCGCCTGATCATCCCCCTCCCGGCTCCGGCCAAGTCCCACGCCGGGCCTGGCTGCGGGCGGGAACTCTTGGGCTCCTGGGTTGCGCGATTCTCAGGAATCCGGATCGTTGCAGAGAAAGAGGACCTCGAGCCTGAAATTCGGATCGTGAACGGGAAGCCAAAGAAAGTCCGGAAACCCCGCACCATCTACTCCAGCTTCCAGCTGGCGGCTCTTCAGCGGCGTTTCCAAAAGACTCAGTACCTGGCGCTGCCCGAGCGAGCTGAGCTGGCCGCGTCCCTGGGCCTCACCCAGACCCAGGTGAGCGCTCGCCGCTGGGCGTGGGGGCAGGAAGAGGGACGGGGGGAGGGGGGTCTGTCCGGGGTGGCTGGGAAGAAGACAGATTCAAAACAAAATTTCTTTAAATATATTTTTAAAATAATTTAAAGGATTTCGAGGCCCACTTCTTGAGCGGCCTAAACTTCTGCACTCGAAGCTGAGTCCCGGTGCTCCGTAGTCTTACTCCGCACTACCGATTAAGCGGGTAAATTTATCGGCCCCTCTGACCCCCTCCCGCTGTCACAGCAGCACCGCGCACACCAGCTGTCCGGGCTTGTGGCGATGGCTAACCAGAGGGGCAGGGGCCATCGCCGCCTCCCTGCCCAGGTGCTCGGTGCCCACCTCTCGCTGTTGGGCTTTCTACGCTTCCTCCCTCCCCTGCCCGGTGCCGGGTTTCCTCCACTAATGCTCCGGTCCCTTCTCCACAAAGGTCAAAATCTGGTTCCAGAACCGCCGGTCCAAGTTCAAGAAGATGTGGAAAAGCGGTGAGATCCCCTCGGAGCAACACCCTGGGGCCAGCGCCTCGCCGCCGTGTGCTTCGCCGCCGGCCTCGGCGCCGGCCTCCTGGGACTTCGGCGCGCCGCAGCGGATCGGGGGCGGCGGCGGCGGCCCGGGCAGCGGCGGGAGCGGCGCGGGCAGCTCGGGCTCCAGCCCCAGCAGCGCGGCCTCGGCTTTCCTGGGCAGCTACCCGTGGTACCCCCAGGCCTCGGGCTCGGCCTCCCATCTGCAGGCCGCGGCGCCGCTGCTGCACCCCACCCAGACCCCGCAGCCACACCACCACCATCACCACCACCACCACCACCACCACCCAGGCGGCGGGGGCGCCCCGGTGAGCGCCGGGACGATTTTCTAACCCCGGGAGACTGCGCCAGAGACTGAGAGCAGAGACCCGTTATCCTCAGTGCTCGCCCCCAAGCCAGAGGGGGGTCTCTCCAGCCGGCTCGCCGATGCCACCCCTGCCGGGGGTGGTGGCCCGGGATGGCCTGCCCCGAGCCCTGCTCCCTTGTGCGGCCACTGAGCCCCCGGGAATTGGAAGGCTCCTCTCGGAGGTCCCGGGTAGCTGCGTGGTGAAGGCCGCGGGCCACGGCCGCCCTGCCGACCGGAGCCCCGCCTCAGACCTGCCTCTGCTCTGCTCTCCTCCCCTCCCTGCGAGGCTGTCCGGCGCCGTCCTCGCCGCGGGCAGCGCGCTGGGTCCGGGAAAGGACTCCTCCCCCGCCCGCCAGGCCTCCCGGGCGCTCTGAAGCTCCTTTCTCCTCGCCGGCCCCCGGGCTCCGCGCAGTCCGCCCGGGTGGTTGACCCCGGCGTCCTGCCCGCCCGCCCCCACACACCCTTGTGACCCGGCCGCCCGCCCGCCCGCCGCTTTTTTCTGCTCTGCCGTTCCCAGCCCGCGGAGCTCTCTCCCAGCCGCGAACTCTCCCCTGAGCTCTCTCCTCATCCATCACCAGTGGAGTTTTTATTTTTATTTTTTAAAAGTTTAGGTGCCTTTGCGGATGACCTCATTTTGATGTTGGGGGGAAAATGATTTTTTAATATGTGGACACTGCAAAAAAATGTGTTTAAATTATCTTTTTTAAAACCTATTCAGGGTTATTAGCCGGGACTTCGACATAGAGTTTGTAAATAAAGGTGTCCGTGCAGGTTTCCCCACTGATGTATTTGTATAAAATACTCATCTTTTCAGACTGTTTTGTAAACCCTCACTTGTGAACTCTCCGGTTTAGCAGTGACCTCAGCAACCCCTCCGTTTTATTTGTCCCTTAAAAATGTTCTCAGTTAAGCTAAGCTACTGATTTGGATTTGTTATATCTTATCCTGAAGTCTTTGTTCTTGAAATGAAAGGTATTTGGGGGTTATTTATTATGAAAACAACATGCTCTTCATGTTGACTTTACACTATGAATATATTATTTAAATAAATTATTGTTTTCATTGGATGTGTGCGTTTTCACCTTGGTGGCACGCACGGCCTGGAGCCTCCAGCCCCTTCCCAGGCGGGGATCCTGGCCAACCAAGGGTGACATGTACATCTTCCTGCGGCTGTGGGAGCAGCGAGTTGCGGTGAGGCCAGGACAGGCTCGCTCCTCAGGCCCCGTGGAATGTTCGCGCTCTGCCCCCATCCGCGTCTGGACGCGGGGTTCGTCTGCTGGAGGCGCAGTGAGTCACTCAGCGCCCGGCGGCTCCCGTCTCCGCCCTTTCTGCCCGGCCGGCGCCGGCGCCCTGCGCCTGGGAGGTCTCCGCCGCCTCCGTCCAAGGTGCTGGCCCAGCGGTGCATCCGAGCCCCCGCGGGGAACCTGCAGCCGGAGCCCCAGCGCAGTGGAAGCCGGGGGTCAAACCCCTACATGGGCCCCTCCCCTCTGTTTGCCCCGCAGCCCTTCTGGGGTTGGTTGAGTGCAGAACTCAGTGAGTCACCCAGGCCCTCGGGAGACGCGGTTGGCTTGCTCTGGAATGCAGGGCGACCTCAGGCACAGGGCTTCCCCAGCGCACATCCATCCCACACCGTAACCTCCCAGACACATCGATACTGCCACGCGCTCTCAGACACACAGTCACACTGAACCATACCCCGCGACACAGATGCACACACAGTGATATACACGCTCACTATGCACACTCGCGCACACAGGAACACTCACGTGGAGACGGATGCTCAGTGCGTAGGCAGTGGCCTCTTCCCACCTCACATTCCCTGAGGAGAAAGGTTCACACATCATTCAGCTCTGCTCTCCACCTTGGGTCCCACCCAACTAGCTTCCAGCTTTGGAAGTGACCCTACTTTCTGGCATTCTCTGCAAAAGCCAGGGGTAGGTGAGTAACGCAGGCCTGAACTTAAAGTTCCTTTTTCTTGAAAGCCCTGGGGCCTGCCGTTGGAAGCTTCCTGGCTTCACTCACGAGCTGTGTGACTTTGGGCTACCCGCCTCACCTGTGTTGTGGGGTGCATACCTCTAAGATAGGAGAAATAAAAACAGCTGTCTCAGAGTCGTGAGCATTTAATGAGGCCATGATGTAACACAGTGCCTGGCACATAGTAAGCACTCAATACATTTTTGCTACGAGTAGTTATAATGCTTGAGCCCAGTGCCCCCAAACAAGAGGGCTTTACTTTTGCTTGCAATTAGGAGGCCCAGAGTTAGCCAGAGGCCTTTCCAACCTCCTCTTGTGTGGAAGAGCAGCACGCTAAGGCTGGGAGACCTCTGGAGCTTTCAGACATGAAAGGCTTAACCTTGGGCATCCTTTCCACTGGGGCTGGACTCTTCTGGAGAGGAGGTTGGCAAGCCAGATAACCCTGCTTGCCGGTCCCAGGACTCCTCTTCTCTAGAATGGCGACTCCGTTCATCCTTGTTGTGTGTCTTAACTCACCTCTGCCAAAAAGACAGACATCAGACAGGAGTGAGTGTCTAGGCTCAGTGGCATCATCCTGAGCGGAATTCCAATTTTTCTGGCCAGATTGTTTTGGGGCCTGCACCGGGCCTGCTTTACAACCGAGTGTGGTCCAGGGAGTTGGGGCTCTGCAGAAGGCAGTTAGGTTACACAATCCTGCGTCCGCTTGCATTCCTGCGTGTTTTCCCAGGCTGAGGAGGTCTGGGCTGAATCCCATTGACCCCGCGATTCTGGCTTCTCTAAGCAGCCGCTGCCTCGCAGACCCCATCCCAGCCCTCCCTCCCCCCAGCTCCAAATTCCGTGGTTTTCTTTGAGTGCCAATAGCTGGTGCCAGGCTTCACCCTGCGGTTTACTGTACCCTCCCCTCCTTTGCGCGCACTCCCCTCCCCACCCCCCCTGAAACCAGCAAGGAGAAACGGGGCCGTAAATTGGCTGGTGTAGAGGATCTGCAGCAGACAAGATGATTAAGAGGCCTACGCCGGAGCGCCCGGGGCAGGGAATGTCAGCCCAAGTTGGAATCACGCAACAGGCCTTGGCATGAGCGAGCCTGGGAGCCGGGAGGGCGGGCGGCCCCAGCTCCGGGGTGGGCCGAGGCCCCACAGACTTGCCGGAGTCACCAAACCTGGCACCCGGCGGCAGAGGGGTCGGGTAGGGCCACGGCGCGCCTTTCCCTGGGAAGCCCGCTGGAAGCAGAGGGCAGAAGGGTGCAGGGGCCAGAGGAAGGGGGCGTTTCCGCAGACTAGGAGAAGGCAAAGAGAGGGGGAAGCGAGGATGCGCCTCAGATCTAGAAGTGAGCAGACGGGAGGGGTGGGGGGCGGGTGAGCGAGGGGAGAAACAAAGCTGGGCTGGGGAGGCGGGGGTCGGCACCAGCCCTGCCGGGGGCGAAGCGCTGGCAAGCCTTTCTCACAGCCTCGCGGCCCGCTGGGAGACTCGGAGCCCTGTGATCAGCCCGCCGCCAGCAGACTAGCTCTCCCCGCCCCAGCCCCCGCCCCCCTGCGCCCGACTGCGCTCCCCAAAGCGCGAATGAAAAATGGACAAGGGAAGCAGCGATCTCGTCTCCCTGCACTGGGAACCCAGCCGCGCTGGGAACACACATAAATCTTCATTGCATTCCCCTCCCATTCGCTCGTGTGAAATATCAGGCCCGATTCTGAATATGACAAGCGCTGGGAAGCCCGGGGAGGGAAGCGGAAGAGTCAGGGGTGTCCGACCCGCTCCGCTCCACCTCGTGGCGGGGTTGCTCCAAACTCCTGTGGGGCGCTGAGTCCCAATTTCCGAGGCTGGCTGCCGGAACGCACCCGCCACCCCTCCGATTCCCGCCCCCCCCCCACCTCACCACCACCCACACCCCCAGCGTGCGCGCCCCCGCCCGCCCCCACCCCGCCATAAGTGCTCCCCAGAGCGTGGACACACACCCCTCCCGCTGCGCCGAATTCCTGCGGCTGGCGGGTAGGGGAGTGCAGAGAAGAAAGGGGGCGAATCCTGGGCCTAATCAGAGCGGCTGCAATGTGGGACCGTTTAGGAAGTTTCCTCTCAGCCTCCTTTCAGGATTACTTGTGAAAATTGTGAATATCCGTCCTGTGTAAGGATTTCCGAGACTGGTGGGGCGAGTTTGGGAGACGTATCAAGTTTGATGGGGGCAGAGGGAGCCCCATCAGACGGCAGCTTTGTTTACAAACAGTTGTGTAGTGGAAGGGGGAGGAGGAAAAGGGATAAAGTGAGGAGTGTTGGGAGTGGATGAATAGTCCCCTCCACTGTTAGAACCCCCCCTCCCCCCGCGAAGGGGGACGGGGAGCAGAAGCCCCTTTGCCTTAAAAAAAAAAAAAAAAAGTCACCCTACTGACTGTAAAACCCAGGAGCACATCCCGCACTCCGACACCGCCTCCTGCCTCCTTCTACCCCGTCCGAGTCCAGAGCACTCGCTCCAAGGACACCAGCCCGCTCCTTTCCCGCCCAGGAACAACGACCACCAGTGCCTTAAGTCTGTTTTAAGGTCAGAAACCTCTGAGAATTAAGCTCTCTCTTCCTCCCAAAACACCGGTCCCTTTGCACTTCACTTTGGGGTCCCAGGTCCGGCAAGCGGGTGGGTGGGGCGCGCCCCTGGCCCCGTCAGACTGGGCTCTGCGGAGACTGCCGGGTTCTGGCGGGGTCAAGCCACCCACAACAGCCCCAGGAAAGCCTCCCCCGGGTCAGATCCTCCCTCCCTACCTGGGATCTGACCCGCCAGCGTTACCCGCTGCCCCGCCCCTTCCCCTAAATACAAACCGGCGCGGGGGTGGGGAGATGCGGAGGCCCCGCGCCCCTCGGAGGCCTCCCTGGCGGGAGCTCCCCTCCCGGGTACTGGTTTGTCAGTGATTGCCACATTACAAGATGTTACATTCCTCCCTGGGGCCCGGGGCCGGGCGGGGCGAGGGAGACACTATGTTTCCAGAAAAGAAAGAGCAGGCGGGTCTTGCAGGAGCAGTTCCTGGGCGCCTTCCCGAGAGAACGCAGGCACAGTCTCTACATAGACGTTTCTTCCCCGGACCAGCTCCGGCTCCTCGCTCGTCCTCTGGGTCGGGCCAGACCGCAAGCACTGCGGTGTCTTAGCAGTTTGTGGGCTGCGTGGCAGCGCTCCTGGGAACCTCCCGAGGCCCGTTTGGGGGGTCCTCGGGGGTCCTCAGGAGTCCTGGAGCACTGGCTGCGTCCCGGATGGGTTCCGGTCAGCAGCGCTAGGAGCGAGGGGGGCGAGAGAGTTGGCGAGGGTTGGGCGGGGACGGGGATGGCTCCAGGAGGCGGGCTGTAGCTGTGAGGCAGAGGGTTAGAACCTCGGGGAAGGAACAGGGCAAGAGGCGGGGAAGGACTGGACGCGGAATGCGCGGGGGGTAATCCCAGAGCGCAGACTGGGGCCGGACGCAGCTAACGCGGCGGGCTTTCCGCACTCCCCCCCCCCCACCGCCCTTTTTTGTGCTCCAGGAGTCTCAGGCACCCTAGAGATGAAATCGTCGCTCTCGGGACAATGGTGACTTCTGGCCCTGGAACCTGACCGAATCTAAGCTGGTCTGAGCTGTGGCCCCACTCCTGGCGGCTTCTCTCGCCCGAAGCCTTCGCGTTGCCCCCTCCTCCGGGGCAGCCTCCGCCCCGCCCCATCCCTCGGCGTCCCTGGCCTCGGCTTCTTAAAGTCGCAGGGTGTCTCAGTGCCCCAGAGAAGCGCCGCCCCAGTAGGGAGTGTTTCTGGGCGGGGGGGGGGGGGGCGCTATCTGGGGCGATGGAGCGCTGGCCCCAAGGACCTAATTGAGCTTATTCTCTCCTGTCCCAACGCCTCCAAATAGCAGGCTCATATTCGCCGGCACTAAGAAACAGCTAGCGCTCTGTCTTGGGTGCTAAGTCGCCTCACAGCAGCTCCTCAGTCCACCAGCTGCCCGCCCCCCACCCCCCGCCCGCCCTCTGGGCCCGCCTGCAGATTCTAGAGACCAGCCGGGCTGAACTGTGCAAGGCGGTTTCAAGAATTCGCGAAAGGGCCCTAAGGAAGGAGGAGGGGAGAACTGTAAAGAAAAAGAAAGGAAGAGTGTGTGTGTGCCGGGGGAGGGGGGATCCGGCTCAGTCACTTTCCTGCTCTGTTGCCGAATTAGGGTGGGAGCCTAGGGCCTCTGGGGCACCCAAGCCCAGAGAGAGCAGACACGGGGGCTGGGGGGGGGGGGGCGCGAGGGGGGGATTCTCTTCCCGACGTGTTCACGGGACAACAGTGAAAATTTGCCTTGGGTGGCCAATTTTCTCATTTGCCCCTGTTAAAAGAAAAAGCCCAAGAAATTCAATTAAAGCCACCCTGGCCAAGGCGCTATTTGAGGCATGAATGTCTCCCCTAAAGCTGCAGCAATCATGTGGCATTAGACACTTCCGGAATCCTATAGCCAACCTGAAAAATCCCAGACCCCCTTTTCCCCTAATTTTTGCTCTGATCTGTAATTTTATCCACATTTGCACTAGTTTGAGCATTCTGGCTCTCCCATCTGAAAGCCTGCAATTACTATATAATTCTTCGCAATTTCAGATGTCCTAATATGGACTGTAATTTTTGCGCAAGACAATTTCCTGCTATTTCAAGCATCAACATTGTCAAAGTTGTATGTACATAATAAATGGGAATATCAATGCATAGTTTTTAGCATAACATCTTGACTCCTCGATAATTATATCCGTTCGGAGCCTACGCAGAATTAGCCTGAATTGCATGGTAACTGCTGCTGCTTTAAAATTTTTAAAAATTACTCATAATTTTCCCAAAGATTACCAAGATCTCGAGTGCACAATGTCATCAGCGTAATGAAGAGTAAACATTTATGCTAATAATCTGCAATTTTTTTCATCAGCTATAAAGACAGAGGCTATATAGCCGAAAATTTCAGTCCTATTCTGCAAGCGCCACGCTGCAAAAAGCCTGATCGCTCGGAGGCGCCTGGTCCTGGGGACCTCTCTTCACTCTTTCCTCTCGGGATGGGAAGATGGGGCTGGGGGATTCTTTTTGGTTTTCTGGTTTTGTTTTGCTCTGGTTTGGTCGGTTTTGTATTTCCTGTTTTTCCTTTTTTTTTTTTTTTTCTTTTTCTTTCCTGTCATTCTCTCAGCCAAAAGCCGCCTTCGACCCTTTTGATTTGATGTAGCAAAGATTGTGTCCAGATTATCTGACATTGACACTGAAGAAGGTAAGGGTGGAAACCGGTTTCATTTTTCAGAGGGTTGGAAGGCTGAGCTGCGCCCGCCGCGGCAGCGGCTCCCGCTCTGGGAGTAGGAGGGTGGGGGAGTGATTATGTATGCACCAGCTAATTCTTCCATCAAAACGTCTTGTCAGCGATGTCAGGATTATTTTTCCCCCTTTTTATAAAAACACTTGATGTTTTAGGAAGTGTTAATCCCTGAAGGTTGGGGGATGAGGGCGAGAAGTAAGGAAGGCTGGGTCGGGGTGACATGTTTCTTAGCCTGGGGAAGGCACCCGTTAGAACCCGTTTGGCTGTCCACGCTGGAGCTGGGGTTTGTTGTGGAGGCTGGGACCTGAGGAGGATTTCTTCAGGTCGTGGGAGGGAAAGACCCTTGCCCTCTGTACCGCATTTGATGGAAGTTCCAGTGGCCCTGAGGGATCAGGGGTAGAAAACTTCGCTTGAGACTTTGATTTCAGGATGATTAACCCAGGCGGGGGGATGTCAAAAACTAGAGAATCCTGACATCGGGTTTTTTAAAGATACAGAATGAAAGGGCTGGATAGCGAGGTAAACACATAGCTGGAGGCCTGGGTTGCTTCTTTCTGCTCAGTTTTTCTTGGGATCAAGTAAGTATCTCAGGTTCTATATTCACCACCCAGACCTAGCTTTCTTTGGTGACAGAAATTGATGATTTCTTCAAGGGAAGAAATTTCTATATCAAATGACTCCAAGAATAAATTCATACTTCTGTTCATATAGGTGGGGGAAATTTTAAAACTTTTTGTGGTCAGAACAGGAAAGGCTGAAGAGCCATCGGTCCAAGCCCAGGACAGATCCCCCCCCCTCAAAAAAAACATAAAACATGATGGCCAGTAAGAAAGAAAGGGAAAAAAAGCTGCGAGCTAGATAAACATGTTTCCCATTTCATATTTTTAAGATGTTGCCTCGATTTAGGCGCTGGGTTTTTCCACAATTAAATGACTAGGATGACCACTCCATTTCTGGCTTATGAAACCCAAGACCAGTGAGGAGGGGACTTTGGATTGTTGCTTTTGCCCCTCCACCTCTACCCCTACCCCTTTTTGAGCAAGTGTGTCTGAGAGAAGATATTAAAGAGGTATCTGTTGTTTGGCAATTTTGCTAAGTCTGTCTTCATTACTTCGACGCTGTGCATTTGCTAATTTGGAAGCCCGGCCATTGACAAGCTTGCTCCATACACCTGCAAGCAATTTGCCGGCTCCGGTACCGAGAATTGCAGAGATGGCAGCTCGCACCTATTTGATTTTTTTTTTCCTTTTCTCAATGCACAGCAAATTTGGCTTTCAGTGCGTTATCTCTTTTGTTAATGCAAAAAGATTCCCTGGGCGAAAAAATTGCTCATAATTACCAGAGAGATGGGGAAACTGCATTAGAATAAATAAACCTGAAATTACTGTAATTATGTTGTGTTTGATGGGCCCGGCTTGTAATCAAGAAGAGAATACAGTGAAATGATGCTGACCCTCTTGGGTTTGCAGCTGTACACGCACTTTGGGGTCTTTTTTTGCAGAAAAGAGTCATTTTGATAATCATTAAGCTGTGTGTAACCTATTTCAGAAGTGTTTTAAAATGAGGTTCACATTTTTTGAACAAGGGGAAAAAATCCCAAAATTGCATTTTGCCATTACAGACTCATACATAAGGAAAGGTTGTGTTTTCTAAGCGACAATTGTTAAGATATAATATTCAAAATCAGTATTTAATCATTATAATGAGGTATTGTTTAAATATAACCACCTTTAGATTATTCATAGTTTAATTAATATAGTCATTATGAAAATCTTTGAATCAGATATTTGATGAACTGCTTGTCAGTAACAAGGCAGCATTAATTAGGCCTATATTGAGATTAACATTTTAAAAAGTACAACCGCTTATAATTATAATCGAGCCTAACTGAAGACCGCCTTCATTGAGCTAAAACTAATAATTTCTCTATTTGAACTGTTAGCAAGAGATTATTAAATTAGTATAAGCTAATATCTCAAAGTATTGAAACCCGCTTGACCAACTAGATTGCGCCTGTGGCTTCGGCACTGGGCCCTGGCTGCCGTCTGAGGAACCAATTCGGATGCGTGAGATAAATCTGCCAAATGTCCCCGCCAGCAAAGTCACGCCTCGCAGGGAAGCCAGATCCAGGAGGGGCTCTGCCCCCGCGGCCGAAGCCGCCGAGGCTCTCCGTTCCCCCTTCCAGCCGGTCCGCGCGCGCACCTTGGTCTCCGAGGTCGGTTCCCCCATTAGCGCTCCGGGTTCCGGCGACCTGCGGGAAGAGAAAAGCCCCAAACCCAGGCCCAGAAAGGGCCTCGAGGTCCCGAGCTCCATCCCCCACCACTTCCCTGCTTTCTCCAGCCCCCCCCCCCCCCCCCCGGCGCTTCCCCTCCCTTTCCCAAAGGGCGTCGGAAGAGCCTGGCACATCTGATCTTTCACCAGCACCAATTGAAAAATGGGTGCTTGTCACAACACAGATCACTGCCTTCCTCGTTCAGCTCCCCACCGCGCGCTGCAAAGGGTCCCCCAAAGGCGGAGGGCCAGTGTCGCAAGGCAGGCCGAGAGGAGTGGGACTCGCTCAAAGCAGCCAGACGAGGCCCGCAGCTCTCCCAAACTTCCTCACCTAGGCTGCGGGAGCCGGGGCTGGGGTTGGGCAGAGCGCCCGGCCAGGGGAGTTCTAACTGCTCGCAGCTCTGTTCATCCGGAGCGAACTGATCTGAGCGGTTCAGTAGAGGTGCCCCCTTCATGGCCGGGCCGGGAGACTTTCGGGCTGGGGTAGGGTGCTCCCCTCGCCCACCAGGCCCTTCCTGGGCCCCTCCATTTCTTCCAGGCGCAGAGAAAAAGCCCGGGGTCCTTAGGCAGGAACGGGCCTGTCCTTGTGCGTGGGGCCGTGTGGATGGGAGTGGATGTGGAGGGCGCGGGTGGCGCCTTGAGACTGTCCCCGGGAGCTCACTGATGGATTGGGGGTTAGCCTGACAGACGTATCCTTCCGGTCCTTTTCCGGCGTCTGGCCGCGTCTTTTCCTCGTCCAGATCCAGCGCCCTCCAGGCAAGCCAAAGCCAGGAGGCCAGATCCCCAAGGAGGCGAGGGGCCCAGCCAGGTGTCTCCGTCTCCAGGTTTCTAGGACTCCCGCAAGGTGACTGGGTGTGTGTTGGGGGGGGGGGGGGAGTTAGGGGTGTCACTCAAATCTCACAGGCCGGCTGTCTTTGAGTTCTGCTTTGATCTCCTCGCAGCCGGCCTTCACCACCCCTTCCGTTCCTGAGCCCTGACTCTGACGTGCGGCACCTGTTCCTGGTCCTCCTTCCCTGAGACCCTTCTAGCCCAGGTGGGATCAGACCCCTTGTGGGTCAGGAGCTAGGCGCTAGGCAAGAGCAGCGCCAGCGGGCCTAGGCCCTTATCCTGTTGTCTGGAGTCAGTCCTTGTCCCTGCATTGCGTCCCCAGAGGTAGAAGCCTGGCCGGCCCCCTGCACCCGCTCACACAGCACACCGTACAGCAGCTCTTTCTCGAAACCATAATTTTACTGTCAAAGAAACTTTATAACTTATTTACAAAGTTCTTTCCCCCCCCCCAAGATACAAAGCAATAAGTTAACATTCTCAATATAAAACTAAACTTTGACATAGAGAACACAAAACATGGTTGATTTCAACTGATCACATTTTCCAAATTTCACAAGTAAAATGTCAAGATTCTCATTTCACAAAGCATCGGGTTTTACAGCCACACTCAACGGAACAGAAAAAAAAATAGCTAAGCTTGTGCAACATGTTTACAGAACAATAATAATAACAATAATAATTAATAACAACAATAATATGTACAGCGATTAGATCCTGCACTGGAGGCTGTGCGTTCAGGTGGTGACTGGCATCATTCTGGCTCCTCTGGGGGTTGTTGAAAAGCTGCGTTTGCTTGCTTTCAAGCCCACTGGCATTAGGGTGCTCGCTCACACCCGCCTCTTTTCTCACCGCTGCCCGTGGGTCCTCTCTCTCTCTTTCTCCCTAAGGAGAGAATTCAGATTTTCCTACTTGTCCAGGCAAGGAGACTAAGCGTTCTTCTCCAAATGAGAAACTGTGTTGGCTTCATTTCTTTCTTTTTAAAAACATGTAAAATATGCAAATCATTCAACTCCAACCGCTCTAGACCAGTGAAGTACAAAAGTTACTATATAAGTTAAAAATCACCAGGTCCTCCTTATTCTTTTTTTCCCCCGGGTGCATTTGAAGTGACTGGTATATTTGGACAGTGTGCTCCTCCTGTCCCATAGAATTGCGTACTGGCCAACACTCAGCCTCAGGAGAAGTCCATTTCTCAATAAATAAGCCCCCTCCCTCCAATTTCCCCCAGTTCCCCAATGAGCTACACAGATGTTTGGGCAGGCCCAGGAAAAGGTCTGAAAGGGTAAAACATCCAAGTATCCGGAACTGGGTGGCCTGGTGGACAGCGCCTCCCGGGACCTGGTGAGGTTTTTCAGAGGCTGCAGAATGAGGACAGTGGACAGAGGAGGACCTCGACTTGTCAGGGCACAGATACCGAGCGAAAGGAGACAAGAGACGGACAGGACAGAAAATAGCTTTTGCTTTTTCTACATTGCTTTTGTTTTGTGTGTTTTTCCTGATAGTCCCACACAATGAGGGTCCCCGGTCGGTTGGGTCCAACAGGCTATCTTGCTGCTCCAGCTGTCTCCTGCGGCTATGACTGAGCTGCAAGGCCTCTCTCTGCTGCTCGTGGCCCAGGCCAGGGTTCAGGCGAGGGTGTGGACGCCAGGGAAGTAGCCAGTCCAGACAGCAAGGGGCTCTGAGGAGGCGGTGGGCGTCCTGCCTCCACGGTTCCTTCTTCTTTCCCTCTGAGCCCTTCTCCGGGTCCACGGCACACAAATGGGGTGGACGGACCCGGAGGCAGGAGGGGCCCCGGACCAGGGGAAATGGGAAGGAGGTGGGCGGGATCGGGTGGGCAACCTCACATGAGTTGGGGTTGCTGCATAGCTTCTTGGTGTGCCGAGGGGTACCATGACGTGTAGCTGGGGATGTAGGAGCCCGTGCTGCTGCCCGAGCCCTTTCCGGATGAGGAGTTGGGGTTCCAGCCAGGCGGCACCGGCGGGGAGCCGGCAGAGAGCGCCCGGCCGTTGGCTAGCGCGCTCCCCTCCAGAGCCGCCCCGCCCTGCTTCATCAGCTTCTTGAACTTGGAGCGCTTGTTCTGGAACCAGATCTTGACCTGCAAGAGCGGACAGCAGCATGACTCAAGCTAGGTCCATTGCGCCCGTCATGGTCCTGGGAGATAAGGTGACAGTGGGACAGCGAGAGAGGATGTCCCTTACCGCCCTGGGAGAAGGGACAACTCGCAGCTGGGGGAACAGACCACCACCACCACCACCACCAATAAGAACCTGGCGGCAGGGGCAGCTCTCCTAGAGCCAGGGGGCGTGGTGGTGAGGGGTGAGAGGGGATCTAGGCCTTCTCCTGCCAGGGACTCAGCCCAACCTTGGCTGGCAATCCTCTGGGGAAGATGCAGGGCCTGCACAACATAGAGCCTTCAGTTCCAGGATGAGCATCAATAAAAGAATCGAGTGGCGAAAAGGAGTGGAGGACACTTATTTGCAATGCCTTCTCTTCGCCATCCTTTCTGCCCTTGAGTGAGTTGGAGACTGACCAAGGAAGCCACAAGGTTTTGTTAAACTTTTCATTTGGACTTATGTAAACCTTTTCTTAATGTCTGTTTGTCTCTCCAGCTCTGCTTCAAATCCCGGCCCCAACGTTGGAAACCCGGGACATTCGTCATCAAAACGCCCATGGGCTCCCCGGACTCTCAGAGAAATTGGGAAGGAAGGTCCGTTTCTCCTCCGGGGTCTGGGACTTGGGTGGTGTGAGAAGGCAAAAGAAGGGATCCCCCCCCCACCCCGAAGAAGAAGGAGAAGAGGGAGGAGGAGGAGAAGGAAAAGGAAGGAGGAGGGAGACACAGGCTCAGGCCAGGCCCCAAGTGATTAGCCACACACTTTAAAGGCAAAGAAGGGATTAAGCCCCGAGTCTATTGTTCCAGTTGCTCGGGCACGTGTGACTTCAGAATCCCCCAACAAAACGTCCGGGGAAATCCTCCCTGCGCCCTAATCAGATCGTCCAGGGTTGCAGGTCCGGGCGGCAAGCAGCGCGGAGTACGGAGCGCGGAGTACGGAGTGCAGAGTGCCGAGTGCAGGGAGAGCCCGGGCAGAGAGAAAGAAGAAGGGGAGACGCTGGGAGGGCCAGGGGTGGCGGACACACACACACATCTCACACACACACACACACACACACTCCCCCCCCCCCCCCCCCCGCAACCACCACACACACACCCTGAGGGTCAGAGAGTAAAAATGAAACTCCCGGCGCAGGCGGGCCGCGGAACCCTGCGGGCCGGTGGGGCAGCAGCGAGGTACCTGCGTCTGCGTGAGTCCCAAGGAGGCCGCGAGCTCCGCCCTCTCGGGCAGAGCTAGGTACTGAGTTTGCTGGAACCTCCGGTTCAAAGCCTGCAACTGCAAACTGGAGTAAATGGTCCTGGGTTTGCGAATCTTTTTCCCCTTGCCATTGAAGCGCACCTCACCGCCTTCCACCACGGTGCTCTTCTCCGAGTCGGCCCCTGGAGGGACAGCAGAAGCAGGGACCCTTGTTAATGCGAGGGACAGCCTTCCGTGTGGGGAGCCAGGGGCGAGCGGCTCCCGAGCGGGGTGGCGGAGCCGGGACCCGGAGAGAGAATGCTCCAGAAACTCCAAAAACCAGGGGAAGGTCCCGCAAAATCAGAGGGCCGGACCCGGACGGCTGCAGGCGGACCGGGACAGTTCCCAGGCGCGCAGCTCCTGCCTTTGCAGGGAAAGTTTGCTGTTTTTGCAGGCGGTAGTTGAAGTTTAATTACCCTTAATTGCACACATTGTTTATAGCGCTACGCAATAAATAATTACCGAGACTAATACGTGCACATGTGGGTTTCTGTTTTCCAGGGGGCCATTGTGTGCTCGACGCACGGAGCCACCCAGAGGCCCAGCTAGTGCAGGGGACGCTCTCGGATTTATTTATCCTCTGCCGGATAGTTGTTAGTTAGGAGGATTTTTAAAAATTTTTTTCTTTGCTATGACAAGGATCCATAGATTGATACCCGAAACCTCCACGGCTCCGGCGCTCTCCCCACCCCCACCCCACCTCTCTCTCAACCTCTCCCTCCTCTCTCTCTCTTTCTCTCTCTCTCCCTCCCTCCCTCCCTCCCCTCCCTCTCTCCCTTCATACCTCTTAGTCTCCCTCTCCCGGGCAGGCGCACGTACCTGGATCCTCCAGGCGGCTCTGGGCGAGGCTGGCGCTGCCTGGGTAGGACTGCACGGAACTGATGTAGGGGCTGGACGCGTGGCTGCTGACCGAGTTGACGTAGGGGTAGCCCAGCGGTCGGGAGAAAGACGAGGCCGAGCTGTAGGCGCCGTCGGGCTGCGAATGGCCCGCCGAGTGTAAACAGTGCATGGAGTAGTGCCCGTGGGACATGGGAGAAGGAGACATTTGCTGGTTGGGCGGCCCAAACTCCATAAACACCGCCTTGCCCGACACGGGGCTGTTGAGACTTTCTGGCATGGTGGTCATGGTCATCTCTTCTCGCGGGGTCTGGGTGTGGGTCTCTCTCTCTCCTCTGCTTTCCTTTTGGGGGTCTCTGTGTTTCTCAGGACAGGAAGGAACCCAATTTAAGCAGAACAGGGGTTTTCACTTTCCATTCATAAGAAAATGGAGTTTGTCTCTTTGAAAAGTCTAAGCATGATGCTGCGGAGCTCCCCAAACTCGCTTCAAAGCTTTGACTCAGCCAAGGTCATAAATATTCATGAGCCGGCGGAGCTGATTGGTCCGTTGCCTTGCATAATCACCGGGGATTGGTCCGAGGCGCTCCGGCTCCGCTGGACTAGAGCGGGCGAGGCGGCCGGGTCTCGGGAGAGACGCGTCCACAGTTCCCGGCCGGGGCTCGCTCCTCTGCAAAAGAGCGCGCCGAGCGGGACGCACAATGGGCCGGCGCCCTCGCCAGGACTCCCGCGGCCCGCGGCTCCAGGCCTCCCGCCTCCCGGAGCGCCTCACTTCCCAGAACGCAACCTGCGACTTGGCGGCCGCCCTCCCCTTCCCCTACGATCCCCATCCTCCTCCCACCCCAACACCGGGGCCCCGGGAACAGCTTCTCCCAGCCACCGCCACCGGGTCTGGCGCTGAGCGAGGGCCGTTCAGGAGCCCGGCCGCGACCTCCCGAGCGCGAAGTCGCGCACTGGGGGGCGCCGGAGGCGGCTAGCAGGGCGCTGTCCTCCCCAGCGCCTTGTGCCTAGCGCAGCGCTCTCCCGGAGGCCCCGCCCTAGCCTGGGCTCGCTTGGCCACATCCCCGGGGTGAGATCTGGGGCCCTCGGGCGAACTCACTCACTCGGCCGCCCTGCCGCCGCCGTCGCTCCCTGGGGCCGGCTCGCATTGCTCCAGGCCCAGCTGGCCACTCCAGTTCGAGGCTGCACCGGTCTGATTAAAGCAGTGCGCGCGGAGAGCCAGGAACCCGCGCTTCTCCTCCCAGGAAAGGCGGCCGCACCGCCCTCCACTCCCCCGACACCCCCATCCTTCCTCCACCGCCCCCTCCCCTCTCCACTCCCTCTGCGCCTGGCGCCCAGGGCTCACGCGCCCCTAGGGCGCGGCGCCGAGTGGCGTCCTGGAGCTGGCGGGCTCGGTTCTGCTTGAGCAGCGGAGGCCAGGTGGTCATTTCCCGGCCTCCTGGGGGCCAACGAGAGTACTGGGGTTTAGGAGTCCCGGGGACACCGAAACCCGCGGCAAAACCAGGCCAATAATAGGCTCATATATCTTGTGTGTGGACGTGTCTCTCATTGTCGCCCAGGATCCTTCTCATCTTCAGTGGTCAAAGTGGGCGCAACTGGGCCTGGGGACAGAACTGGTGGAGGCAAAAGCTGCCAAGGCCTCCTATCGTCTGGGGCGCTAGGTACAGAGAAGTGCACAAAAGCCCCCCCCAAAACTCCCCCCCCCCACGCTGTAACCACCACACAGCCACCCTCTTGAGGCGTGGTGCAAACCATGCTGTCTTCGAGGGGCTGTTGGTTCCCGATTCCTCCAGCCTCACGGTGAATCCAGAATTACTTTGTTAGGTAATTAGAAAGTGTTGATAATTATTTCTTTCATAATTTAGCGGTGTGGCGGGAACGGGGAAATGATCTTGTGAAAGTTCACACGTGCAGATGTATTAGTTACTGATTCATTTGATTAAATGGTAGTCTCAAGTGCTCGAATCCACAGCTGAAGGCGCCCCATTAGCATAACACTGATGTTTAATTTTCATACGCATAATTAGCCATATATTTAACACTAATAGCAACAAGCAGCCTTTCAGCGTTAAACAGCCTGGGATTTGATCTGGCCTGAGCTGAACCTTCCCCGCCGCACCTTCCCCTGGCTGGAGTGTCGCAATGATCACAGGACAAACCTCTGTAATCAAGTACATTTTGGCAGAAGGAACACCAATAAAAATGAGCACTCAAAACAAATTACATCGGCGCTGTCGTTGCAGATATTAGTGGAAGGGGCTTCTCTATTTTTTAACTTCAGTAGCAGCAGCAGCTGCCCGCGGAATTCCTCTCCTTTGGTTTAAGGGCATGATGTTGGGGGTAGAAATATTTCAGGCTGTGTGGTTGGAGCAAAAAGAAAAACAAAAGCCAAAAAAAAAAAAACCAACAACAACCCACCCCACAACCGATCCTCCAAACCAATAACAGCTTTGCCAACGTTTAAAAAGATTTTTTTTCTTAATCACCCAACCACACGGTGATACTTTGTAGCAACAACCAGCTAATAATGACTCCGCTACCAGACAACTCCCAAGAGCTGCAGGACTCCTCTTGATTTCCGTGTTGCACTTGTGGTTTTCATTGCTCCTTCCTAGCGCCTATTTTGGGGTGTAGAGCCGGGTGTGGAGCGCGGTGTGGTGCGCCCAGCACAGCAGCACGGATGCCGCCGGGGGCCCCTGGTTTCCCGCTCGCCTGGCGGGCCCTGACCACGTAAGTGATCGCCGTGGCTGGAGCGGTGTTGGGGTTGGGACCGAGGGAAGCGGGGCTGGTCACTCCAGGTGCTCGGGGCAATGCAAGAGGAAACCCGACAGCTGAGTCACCCAAGGCCAGTTTATTCCAGATGTAACTGCAGGGTGGGGGAATGGGAGAGAGGATGCCACAAGTCGCGATGGTCTGTCCCCAGGGCTCTCTGTCCGTCCACACTGGAGGGGGGACTCCAAGCCATGCGTAGCGCAGTGGACCGGGCTGGCTCAGGGGAACAAAAGACCCGCATGCGCCCCTTCAGGAACGGGTTTCAGAGTCTTGGTTATTTTAGAAATGAATTATTGTGGGCGAGCGAGTGTCCGCACTCCGGAATTATTTCTTAGATCCAGAGAAGCAGTTGCAGGGAGGGGCGGATGAGCCAGGGCCCTCCGGGCTCAGAGACGCGGCCGGCCTTGGCTAGCCTTCTCAACGTGTGATCTTATCTCTATTCTATGAGCCCGTCCACCCCACCCCGCTAAGGGGACACCTGTTCTGAAACGCAGGTTTGCTTAGATCTCTGCCTGTCCCAACTCTCAGAGAAAATAAAACTCTCTCTTGTATCCGGAGAATGTCCCGGATTGCCAGTAGAACCTCTTGGAGGCACGCAGGACTGGCGCCTGGTGGTTAGCTGTAGCCACCAGTGGGCTGGAATCCCGGTGAGGTTTGGAGCCAATTAAGCTGGCAGGGGTGAGGGGTGGAGAGTGGTACTTTAAAATCTGCTTCTCTAACTTCAACTTTAAAGCATGTTAAACGGAGTTGGTTCTAAATGAAGTTTCTTTCCTATGGCGCTGCAGAGTATTGCCTGTATATGTACAATGTTTACACTTTAGGCTAGTTACTTTAATAAAGGGGTTATAAAGCCATACATACTTGCACCTTGGCATAACTGCTGCACAGCAGTGTGCTGTCTCAGTGGTTGGTAAAATCCTGTGGTCCTAATAAAATTATTCTCGGGGAACCTGACCTGTAGAGAAGGTACAGGTAACTGGTGCAATCCGACTGCTCTGGGAGAGAAGTGAAGTCCTTCTCAGGCAAGAGACACCAGGTCTTTCAGAGGCAGCAGCCCCTGAAAGTCTCTAGGCTTGTAAAAGTTTTTTAAGGACCCCAGAAGTTTTTCAATGAATCTTGTAGATCTTCAACCCCTTCCTTGTCTTTTCCAGCTCGGAGATCCACTAGAATCAGAATCATTTTTGTCCAAATTCCCCAGCTCTGGACACAGAGAGCCAGAGGTGTTGGAGAATGCTCAGGAGAATTCCAAGTTCAGGGAACAAACTGAACTGAACACTGTTCCCAGCATGTTCATTGGCCTCGGTTTCCTATCTCTTTCCCGACCACTGTGAGTGTCACAGAGAGGAGCTGGCCCTTGGGACCCAGTCAAAGAGGCCATCTGTTTTGGCAACTACAGGTGTCTTACATTTCCTTGGTGCTCTCTAGCCCAAGCTATATTTAGAGGATGGCAACTTTGGAAAACCACTTCAGTAAAAACGAGAGTTAGCACTGACTTTGAGGAAACCCTAAATGGGACTTGTTCCTAAAACCATGACCAGAGGGGCAACTCTTTTCTCTGTGTCCTGCCAAAGGCCCAACCCCTCTCCACCCCTGGGCCCAGGTATGAGCAGGCTCCCGGCAGGAATGGGTCTTGGGACAGGGATGTGGATCTCTGGATTTCCTGAAGCAGGTGGAGCTGTGAGCAGGAGGTTGAACTGGAGTGAAACTCACCAACTCCAATCCTGCTAACTGGGCCCTTGCCCTAAAAAAATGCCGAATCTCTTCTCGCTGGGAACCTCTGGGTCTCCAGTGCTAGAATGTGGTCTGAAGGGGGCCAGTATGGGGAGAGGTTAGTTTAGGGCAGCGGTTCTCAACCTGTGGGTCGCGACCCCTTTGGGGATTGAATGACCCTTTCACAGGGGTCGCCTAAGACCATCCGAAAACATATATAATTACATATTGTTTTTGTGATTAATCACTATGCTTTAATTATGTTCAATTTGTAACAATGAAATTGGGGGACACCACAACATGAGGAACTGTATTAAAGGGTCGCGGCATTAGGAAGGTTGAGAACCTCTGATTTAGGGGCTACAGCAGCCTGGGATTCATACATTTCCTAGTGCAACAAACGGTGTGTGTGTGTGTGTGTGTGTGTGTGTGTGTGTGTGTGTTTTGTAAAAGTAACCTCTGGGATGCACCGCAGGGCAGGATGAGGGTCAGGGAGGGAAAGCTGCAGGGGATCAGAAAGTCCTGTTTTTAGATTGGTAAAGCCTGCAGAAGAGCCAGGCTGGGGTCCACAGGCAAAGACATGTTTGTAACCAACCCCTCCATTCGGGCTGATCTTTCATTGCAAAGCCCTTATGAAGGGGAAGAACGGGAAGGGCCGGGGAGCAGGGGCCAATTGGAGGATCCATAATGGGGTAAAAAGAGACTTTAAAAAAATTCCACCTAACACCCAGGCTCTGGTTTTTCTTTATGCGCGGGCATATGAAAAGTTCAGAAACTCAAAAATTAACCAACTACTCTCTTCCTCCCCCCCCCCCCCCGCCCCCCAGTAACGGTCAGAGACTAGGAGCGCAGACACAACGGGTTTAAGAGGTGAAGCCTTTTACTTGGGCAGAGTTAAGACAAGGGAAGGAGAAAACCATGCACCTATGGGAATCCCTCCTCTTCCAAACGAGGGCGTCCCATTCCCCCTCAAGAAATGTTCCCCGAGCTGGGAAACAGTCCGGCTCCGGGATCAGTCCATCCTAGCGCGCCGCCACGCGGGCCTCAGATCTGCGTTCCCAAGCGCCCCCAATCCCCGCCGGGTTTTCCAAGACGCTTCCAGGCCCTAGGTAGGCTACAGCGGACCAGCCTTCCGCCGGTGCTACTAAAAGTTCTCCAACTGGGTTTCAGCAATTTAGGAGAAAAGGCGCCCAGCCTCTGCCATCGTGGGGCCGCTCCTCAGGCCTCGTGGGGCAGTTTGGTCAGGATCTGAGCGCCCTCCGACGTGATGACCACTGTGTGCTCGAACTGGGCGGACCTGAAACACAC